TCCCTACAACCCATAGCGAGATGGCAGGCTGTCCCCATGCACTCATGGAAGAACATGGTGGATCATTCCCTGGGGGCACCAGGAAGGGTGAACTTGGCCAGTGGATTTGCTGCCAGTGGACTCTGATTACGCAGCTTTGGAAGACCCCAGTGCCAGGGGAGTTGGCTGTTCCCGAAGCAGCCCATGACTCTGTGAGAAGCCCACGCTGGAAGCAGCTTGCTCCGGACCTCGTGGGAAGGACTCATGAAGGAGAGGTTCGTAGAGGACTCTCTCCCATGGGAGGGACCCCGTGGGGAAGCTGGGAAGGACTGTAAGGAATCCGTCTTCCTGAGGAGGATGGTGCGGCAGGAACCACCAGCCTGTGAAGTGACTCTAAACCCCATCCCCTGTCCCCCTCTGCTGCTGGGGGGAAGGAGGGAGAGAAACTGGGAACAAAGTGATTTGGGCCCGGGAAGAAGGGAGGGGTGGGGTAACATATGCAAGCTCTGCTCTTTGTGTTGTCTGTGGCCTGTGTGTGTTTGATTAGTGTGAAATTAAATTATTGTTTTTTCCCCAAGTTGAGTCTGCTTTGCCTGGGACCTTAATTGGTGAAGAACCTTCCTTGTCCTTTGTCTCGACCCATGAGCTTTGTCCTTTTCATCCCAGAGTGTGTGTGTGGGGGGTTGAGTGAGCAGCCATGGGGCTGTTCCTTTGTTGTCACCTTGGGCCTAAACCACGACATTATTGGTGAGCCAACCAGGAGAAAGACAAAGAACCACAACAGTGTTAAACAGCACTGGTCCCAGTACAGACCCTTGAGGCATGTGACTCGTCACTCATCTCCACTTGAACATCGAGCCATTGACCAGAATTAGCCAGTCAATTCATTATCCACAGAATGGTCAATCCATTGAAAGGAAAGGAAAGCACTGAAAAAGAACAGGTGCAATAACAAGGTTTTTTATCGTAGTCCCTGTTTACTAGCCTTGTGCCTTCATGTACTTAATCATATTGGTTTAGGTTCTTCAAAGGTGCTGTTCTCTGTAAGCAAAGTCATTTTGGGGGTGACTCAAAATATGTTTTCTCTAGTGTGACTTGTGGATAGAATGGACAGAAGTTTTCAGGCTTTCCTGTGATTCCTAAGATTGTCAGACTTTTTATTTGGTTTTGTTTGTTGTGCCACCTTCTGAAGTTCAGATAGTCTTGGATAAGGTCTGTTTTGGCCCCACAATAAACGTTTGTGGGGGTTTTTTGGGCCAGTTAGAGGTATGGTGCCAGCTCTTTGAAGCCTTTTCTTAGTATAACTTAAGAGCTGAACGCAGTCTGCTGCAAGGGGTATTTCTTTGTGTACTTTTGTTAAATCAAACTCTCCTGCTCAGCTTTGTTGTTTCTCATGTCAGATCTAAGTGTACTTAAAATACCAGTATCAAACATCCCTGTGTGGTGTTTCCGTAGACAAAGAGAAGGTGTTACTAGCGCGATTTCTAAACGCCCTTCTGTCCACCAAGCAATACTTGATTCAGTGCAGTTCTAAGGTGCTTGAGCCTAGCATTTGTTTCACTGTGCCTTTCTGTCCTTTCTTCCTTGGAATGTAACTTCCTGGATTTCTAAAAGAACTGGGTAACTGGGATTAGGGTATCACAGAATCACATCAACTCATATGCTAAGAAGGCAGCCTAGGCAGGTAGCAATATATTTACACCTAGCTAGTATCAAGAGAGCAGCGAGTACTAGACCAATCTCATATTCTCAAATATGAAATCATATTCTCAAAGAGCAGACAAAAAAGCAACATTAACACAAAGTAACTAAAAAATGCATGTTAAGGAAGAGGTGAACTAAACAATTATATTCAGGAAATGAGAAACAGAAGATGTTTAAAACACAGAAACTCATTGTGTTAGTGCATGTCATGTAAGGTATAATGATTTCCTGAAGGGGTGTGCATGGGGGGGGGGGGGGGGGGGGGGGAGAAAAGGAGAGGGAGGGAGGAAATCAACTAACAGAAGCGTTTCATTGATTCAGGTGCAGTGCTGAAATAGTTCTGAAGTCAGACCATTCCTTGTTCCTGTTTTTAGGTATACAAATTGGCAGCAAGCTGAATTCCAGTAGATTCAAGTAAAGTTCAGTCACATTTCAAGAGATATGAACTTGCTTAATCAGTTCTAAGAGAACAGGAAGCAAAAATAAGTATGACTTTAATATATTCACACTGATTATTTATGTTAGCATCAAAACATGGTGCAGTTGTGGAAATTACCAGAAGCAAACAGTTTTAGGAGTTTAATACTTCTCACTAGTGCAGTTCTCATATCAGTAATGTTTTTAGTGTGCAGAAGAGAGCAATAAGAGTAAACTTACCTACAGTAGCTCTAATTAAGGGAGAAGAATCACCAATGTTGTTCAGACATTCACTTTTAATGAAGTCAGTTACCCCATTTGGAAAGTTATGAAAATGTGCTTTTACATTATTCTTCAAGATGAGACCACTCAAGGAACGTGTTGGTTCATCTGCAATAGAAAATAATTACATTGAAACTTCAACCAGCTCATAGGATAAGCCAGATTTCCAGAACAATGCAAGAAGGTCAAAGCTTATAGTGAGAGATATTAATCTTTATTTCCTTATCTCTCCTTCCAAATAGACCCTCAATTCACATAGCCAAGTATTGCAAAGTCTACGTTTTAAGAAAGCTTTGTATAGCAAGGTATAGATCTGAACTCATAGGATACAGAAGACTCATGAAAGATTTGATGGATGGACCATTTGTTGGGTAAGGAAATGGCTGGATGGTCAAACTCAAAGAGTGGTGATCAACAGCTCAATGTCCAGATGGAGACCAGTGACAAGTGGTGTTCCCCAAGAGTCGGTACTTGGACCAATGCTATTTAACATCTTTGTCGGCAACATGGACAATGGCAAGTTTGCTGATGACATCAAGCTGTGTGGTGAGGTCAACACGCTGGAGGGAAGGGATGCCATCCAGAGGGACCTTGACAGGCTTGAGAGGTGGGCTTGTGCAAACTGCATGAAGTTCAACAAGGCCAAGTGCAAGGTCCTGCACATGGGTCAGGGCAATCCCAAGCACAAATACAGGCTGGGTGGAGAATGGATTGATAACAATCTGGAGGAGAAGGAGTTGGGAGTGATGGTTGACGAGAAGCTCAACATGAGCCATCAGTGTACACTTGCAGCCCAGAAAGTCAACCATGTTCTGGACTGCATCAAAAGAAGTGTAGCCAGTAGGTCAAGGGAGGTGATTCTCCTCCTTTACTCTGCTTTCATGAAACCCCACCTGGAGCACTGTGTCCAATTCTGGAGCCCCCAACATAAGAAGGACATGGAGCTCATGGAGAAAGTCCAGAGGAGGGCCATGAAGAGGACTGGAGCACCTCTCCTACAAGTACAGGCTGAGAGTTCTGGCTGTTCAGTATGGAGAAGAGAAGGCTCTGGGTCTTCCAGTGCCTAAAGGGGGCCTACAGGAAAGCTGGGGAGGGACTTTTTACAGGGCCTTGTAGTGAAAGGACAAAGGGTATGGACCAAAACTGGAAGAGGGGAGATTTATGTTAGACATTAGGCGGAAATTCTTTTCTGTGAGGGTGGTGAGACACTGGAACAGGTTGCCCAGGGAAGTTGTGGAAGCCCCATCCCTGGAAGTGTTAAAGACCAGGTTGGAACACAGAATCACAGAATGTTAGGGGTTGGAAGGGACCTCTGGAGATCATCGAGTCCAACCCCCCTGCCAGAGCAGGACCAAATCTAGGGCAGGTCACTCGGAAATGCATCCAGACAGGCCTTGAAAGTCTCCAGAGGAGGAGACTCCACAACCTCTCTGGGAAGCCTGTTCCAGTGTTCTGTAACCCTTACAGTAAAGAAGTTCTTCCTCATGTTGAGGTGGAACTTCCTATGCTCTATCTTGAATCCATTGCCCCCCGTCCTATCACAAGGCACAAGAGAAAAGAGGTTGTCCCTTCCTTCTTGACACCCAGCCTGGTGAAGCTGTGGATCCCCCTATCGTTGCAAGTCTTCAAGGCCAGGCTGGATGGGGCTTTGAGCAACCTGGTCTAGTGGAAGGTGTCCCTGTCTATGGCAGGGAGGTTGGAACGAGATTATCTTTATGGTCACTTCCAACCCAACCCATTCTATGATTACTAGGGAGATCATGATCCCAACTGGATTTAGCAACGCATTGTGTATAGTCATGATTCATCACCATAAAGTGCAAAGTTATTCCACAATTTCGCTATAGTCTGATAGAAGCACAATGCTTCCACGTTTCTGGGAAGATTTAATAGGACATTTTAAATGGAATCTATTCCAAGACTGCAACTACAAGCACCAACATGTTATCACATCTTCTTCCAGAAAGACTATTGAGGATAAAGGAGTTCTACATGACTATGGAGATCAACCAATCAGGAAACTGCCTTTAGAAATCAGTTTCCTATTTCTTTCAATCTAAATAAAATACATTAAAAAAGGAAAAAATAATATTGAAGTCAATATCTCAAGAACTTACCTTCAGACTTCAACTTTGTAAGAACAAAAATCAGGTAGCTGTTGAAATCTGGATACTGATTGAGTTGTTCTAGTTTCTGAAGAGAGAAACTGTTAAGGATATTTGAATCTTCACACACAGCATGGATACTATGATTATTGAGTTATGTACTACTGTGTAATTTCAAACAGCTGTGATAAGCTGTTTGAAATAAGCTCACAACATACAGAGTATGAACTGAAAACAGTTCTGTAATTTTCATATAGAAGCAGTAGCTTTTAGTTATGTTGAAATCTGAAAAAAAATAATCCAGGGACAGATACAGAAATTAATAGATCCTTTAAAATATTTTTAAAGCCAAAACCAACAATAACAGCCTCACAAAAAAACCCACCCCAATAAACCCCCAAACCCCCCACATTCCTCTGTACAGTTTTAGATTTCAATATTTACACTTAGAAGCCAGCCAAACCTAAGGAATCCACTGAGACACAATCCTGTAATGTCATTTTTTTAATCCACAATAAATAAAAGCATTCCAGCATTAAAATACAACAGCTATTGTGATTTTGACAAGCTACTCACTTTAATATTAGTCATAGACTTTTTTATGATGCTAACTAGCCACAGCCTGAGCTTTCAACAGTGAGAATCTGTTTCATTATAAATGCCTAGATATTTGTACCAAGAAGCTCATGCTTATCCATGGTCTCTAAAAACCACAACACACCAAAACAAACAATCCTGTACACAAACTAATTTTCTAGAGTGACACCTCTCTAAGTATTTTACTAGCAATACCAGCCTCTTCACTATGTCCTTGGGGAAACCACAGGAAGAATGATTATGTTTCTGAACAGCTAGAAGGTACATATTTGTCTTTCTGAAATTTGTCATTACTTCTGCCTCAAATTTCTATGCATTCTTCCACTGCTTGGCTAGAACGGTGATCTGGCATTCTCCTTGTATCCTATTCTCAAACCCTGGTACTAATTAGCATTATGCTCAACAATATTTTAAGTCATAAGCATGCAGTGTCATCTTTAAGTTACTAAACCTAGTAGATATCATCAGTATGGGAAACAAGACATTTAACAGACAAAATTTTTAGAAGAAGTAAGATTATTTGCTTCAGAGCCATTTACTTTACTTGCTGTATAGCTACATCTCTAAATATTCAAAATTGCCAAACCTTAGTCATAGATATCTATAATCAACAGCTAGTGTCTCAATCACAAACTTAAGAAACTTCATTTATTTAGATATTTAGGCTGCTTGTATCAAGTAGTAACTTTGTTAAAGGAACCTGCCCACTTACTTACAGAGTAAAGTCTACTTATCACAGCCACAAGCTTCTTTGCTATGAAACACACAAGATGAAATGTAAACAGAGAGATGGTCACATCAAGCGAAAAAAACACAGAACATTCTACATAGCCCCTAGAAATGAAGAAACACACATCCAAAGACTGTTGTCAAAGGTGCCACGCCAAAGAGCTCTTTCAGGAACAGCCAAGAAGTAGGGTAGCACATTTCCAAATTTTTTTCTTCTTTAAGCTTCAGAAACATAATCACCAAAACAGTCAGTCAAACATTACTAACAACTGTGAATTCCAATGGCTCAAATAAGAAGCAACAGCAGAAGAAGCAAGCAGAAAGAACTTAAAGAGCAGTATTAAATAGAAAATGAATTCAAAAACACCCAATCAATCGCTTATGGGCCATATTTTCTTATCAGTTTCTTCACCCAGTTTTCCTTTTTTACTCCAAGAAACATCTATATCTTCATTTGAAAAATGTTTGAAAGCCTCACCAATTCATAAAATTGTTAACAAAGTGTTTTGGCTAACCTATGCTAGTCACATTATTACATTTGAGTTCTAAACACGCCAAAACTCTGTCAAGAAGAGCATGAGAGAGTCAACACACTGATAAACCTTATTTTAAAAATGATGGACTGAAAGTACTTTAAATTTGAAACCATTAATCACCATCCTACTTGCACATGCTGCTAAGTAGCATTCCACAATACAATAGCCATCACAAATTTTTGTGGAAGCAGTCTCAAAAGATACCTTTTTTTTTTTTTTAACTTATAGGACATGGCCTGTCAAGTTGTATTAGAACATTTTTCCAAACTGATAGTACAATGGTAAAAATGTGCCACTTATTTAACCTTTACAGGACAACACATGAGGATCTCCTTGAAAACACAGGTATTTCAGCACAGCAGGGAGTTGCCACTTCCATTTAAGAATTTCAAACATCAGTTAACAGCACTTCTGTTCAGTAAATTTCTAGTAATCTTAAAGACAGACAGCATTGCTTATATTGGTCATCCTGCACATACACTGCTCTTTTTCAAAAAACAAACCAGATGCCATTAAGTTATTTGAAACAGAGCTATAAAATGCAATTTTACATGAAAGCTACACTATAAACACTATTACAATAAACACTTTTCTATTTGAAATACGAAAAAACCATGTTTGTTTGGGGCATTATCAGAACACTTAAGCCACCTCTGTATAGTATTTTTCAAAGGAAGCAATAGCATCTTAAGAATCTGAAGCATAGCAGCAAGAACAAGATGAAAACTACCTTCATCTTTCAGATAAGAACAGAAGTCTTCTAAACTTTGACCATACCTGTTAGGTAAGCCTGTAAGTCAAGCAAATTTGACTTCAAGCTAAACTCCTAACATAACACATATATATTCTTACCTATGTAAATGTGTTCTGTTGCTTTCTGTGAAGACCTTCAAGCAAATGCCTTAAAAAGTGATCAAGATACTAGACTCTTATCCTTCATAGAAGGATATCCTTTCAGGATTTCTAGATATTTTAAAGCACTTAGCTCAAAGAGTAGGAGATAACAGATGAGAGCTTTACTTTTCAAGACTTGTGATTCTATTAGTCTTAATGTAACGTTTTCCTATCTCAAGTCTTTGTTCCTTAAAACCTTGCTGTTTCATCACTTCTACCTACGATCAAGAGATGGGGGGGGGGGGGGGGGGGAAAAGACTACAACAACACCCAAACAACAAACCAACAATCCACAACACTAACATGCACAAAAAGCCACATACGGTAGTTTTCCCCCTTCTCATGAAATGTGAAGAGCGTAACGAGCAGTATTTCAGGCTCAAGATTCTAGGCAAGCAGAAACATCCTCACATCGTAGCAAAAAAACAGTATCAGAGCCAGTAGGCCAACGAGAGTATGGAGGCAACGGCTCCACCAGGAACACTCCTACCAGCTACGCCTTTCGCCCTGAATCCCAACGCCGGATTACCTTAGGAAGCCCCTGTTCACCCCCCACTTTATCACAGGGGCGACGGGT